CATCCAAGAAAAATTCTAGTAAACTTTCCCGGCTTAATGCCAAGAAGGAAAAGATTCCCCCTATTGTGATAACCACTACCGATTTCCATGCTCTTCGCATGGAACTTTTGAAAGTTAAGTTTTCACTACAAATTGGACGTCGGGGTGAATGCCGTGTATTGGCTGAAACCTTCGACGGATTTAAATGTCTTCTCAAGTATCTTACTAAGAAGAAGCACAAATTTTTTACTTACAACACCAAAACTGAACGTGTGTTCAAGGTTGTCATGAAAGGACTGCCCAGTGGTGAATCCCTGGATCAGATCAAAGATGAACTGGCAAAATTACTTGGAGTTGTGCCACTTCAAGTAATCAAAATGAAAATGAAATCCCGTCCTGGCGATTCGCGCAACGGGATTTCTAATGATTTTTATTTAGTTCACTTCAAGTCTAGTGAACTAAACAACCTTAAGGCCTTAGTAAAAGCTAGCCTTATGCTCCATGTCCGAGTGAAGTGGGAACACTTCAGGAAGACTGGAGGAAATTTCCAAAACCTCACCCAGTGCCGTAAGTGCCAGGGATGGGGTCACGGAACTAAAAATTGCTACATGCCAGCTAAATGCATGAATTGTGGTGATTCCTCTCACGCAAAGGACGACTGTCCTGTGAAGGAAGATCCTAAGAAATTTAAATGTTCAAATTGTGGTGAAAACCACAAATCCAATTTTTGGGAATGTAAGACTCGCAAAGCGATCCTACAATCTCGTTCTAACCGTCAGGTAGGAAACGCTCCACGTTTCCGACCAGGTACAAATTCCTCTGCTGTTAACAACGGTCAGCGAGGAACAAATTCTACATTCGTACCCGTAGGTACAAATATCTCCCCTGCTTCAAATGTTTCATCTGTACCTACTCCCCTCGCTGCTAACAATGTTCAGCGAGTTAATGGAGCTACCTATGCTGCTATTGCAGCGGGTAGAAATCAAAATACTAACCAACGTTCTAACGGAAATTTTGACAATTTTGACTTAGGAAGCATTACTGCCCCCAAAATGGAATTTTTACAGAATTCATTAATTGACATGATTTCTGATATGCTTAAATCTAACTCCATGTTTGATGCTATTCAAACTGGAGTAAAATTTGCAAATAATATTGTCATGACTTTAAAATTCAGTAATGGATTTTAAAGCATTAAATATTGTAAATTGGAATGCTCGATCTCTTAAAGATAATGAAGACGAGCTATTTAACTTTTTAAGAGTTCATAACGTGCATATTGCCGTTATAACTGAAACGTTCCTTAAACCTGCCCATAAGGTTAAGAAGGACGCAAACTACTTGATTTATAGAAATGATCGTCTTGATGGACCCTGTGGTGGCGTTGCCATCATTATTCATAGACGAATCAAACATAAAATTCTTTCTTCATTTGAAACCAAAGTTTTTGAAACTTTGGGAGTTTCTGTTGAAACAAAATTTGGACAACTTACGTTTATAGCTGCCTATTTGCCATTCCAATGCGTAGGCCAGCAAAAGAATTTTCTCAAGGGTGACCTCCAGAAACTTACCCGTCATAGGTCTAAATTCTTCATTATTGGTGATTTTAATGCAAAACACCGCTCATGGAATAATGCTCAAAGCAATTCCAATGGTAATATTCTGTTTGATGATTGTTCTGCAGGTTATTACACTATTCAATATCCAAACAGCCCAACATGCTTTTCTTCTATAAGAAATCCCTCCACTATTGATTTGGTCTTAACTGATTCATGTCAACTTTGTAGCCAATTGGTTACCCATGCTGACTTCGGTTCTGATCACCTTCCAGTAACTTTTGAAATATCCCAAGAAATAATTTGTAATCCCAACAGCTCTACTTTCAATTACCATAGAGCTGATTGGGAGCAGTATCGAACATTTATGGAATATAACTTCGATCCAAACATTCCTTTGCAAACCAAAGATGAAATTAATTATGCTCTTGAATCTCTGACTACTTCTATAGTTGAAGCAAGAGCTGCCTCAGTACCAAAATGCGAGGTTAAATTCGATTCAATTATAATAGACGATGATCTTCAGCTCTTGATCCGTCTTAAAAATGTCCGTAGGAGACAATATCAAAGAACACGCGATCCTGCCATGAAAGTTATCTGGCGGGATTTGCAAAAACAAATTAAAAAGCGATTCTCTGCCCTGAGGAACAAAACTTTTGAAAATAATATTTCTAAATTAGACCCGAGTTCCAAACCCTTTTGGAAACTCACAAAAATTTTGAAAAAACCTCAAAAGCCTATTCCAGCGCTTAAAGAAGGTGGTAAAATTTTGATCACAAATTTGGAAAAAGCTCAGAAACTTGCTAAGCAATTCGAGAGTTCCCATAATTTCAGTTTGGGTCTTACTAGTCCTATTGAGAATCAGGTTGCTCGGGATTTTCTGAATATTTTCTCTCGGGAAAATATTTTTGATGATTCCTGGGGGACTGATTTGGACGAAGTAAGGTCTAAAACAAAAAAATTTCAAAATATGAAAGCTCCAGGTGATGATGGAATTTTCTATATCTTCATCAAAAAACTCCCAGAGAGTACCTTGTCTTTCTTGGTAAAATTATTTAACAGATGTTTCCATTTGGCATACTTTCCTGATAAATGGAAAAATGCAAAAGTTGTTCCAATTTTGAAGCCGGATAAAAATCCAGCTGAAGCTTCTAGCTACCGCCCAATAAGTTTGCTTTCTTCAATAAGTAAACTTTTTGAAAAGATAATTTTGAATAGAATGATGCTTCACATCAATACGAACTCAATTTTTGCAGATGAGCAGTTTGGATTTCGCCATGGGCATTCAACTACTCATCAACTCTTAACAGTTAACAATTTAATTCGTTCAAACAAATCTGAAGGCCACTCAACTGGAGTTGCTCTTCTAGACATAGAAAAAGCATTCGACAGTGTTTGGCATGAAGGTTTGATTGCTAAATTGAAAAAGTTTAATTTTCCACTTTATATTATGAAATTAGTTCAAAATTATTTAACTGACAGAACTCTTCAAGTAAATTATCAAAATTCCAAATCTAATCGACTACCTGTTAGGGCAGGAGTTCCTCAGGGTAGCATTCTTGGGCCTATATTGTATAACATTTTCACTTCGGACCTCCCTGATTTGCCTCAGGGTTGCCACAAATCTTTGTTCGCTGATGACACAGGCATTTCCGCTAAAGGAAGAAGTCTTCGTGTTATTTGCAGCAGACTGCAGAAAAGTTTAGATATTTTCTCTTCTTATTTACAAAAATGGAAGATTTCTCCCAACGCTTCCAAAACTCAACTTATAATATTTCCACATAAGCCTAGAGCTTCGTTTTTGAAACCTAGTAGTAGTCACATAGTCACTATGAACGGAGTTCCAATTTCCTGGTCAAACCAAGTGAAATATCTTGGATTAATACTTGACCAAAAATTAACTTTTAAAGATCACAATGCCCTCATTCAAGCTAAATGTAACAAATATATAAAATGTTTGTATCCTCTTATAAACAGGAAATCCAAACTTTGCCTGACGAATAAACTTCTAATATTTAAACAAGTTTTTAGACCGGCCATGCTTTACGCTGTGACAATATGGTCTTGTTGTTGCACTACCAGGAAAAAAGCACTTCAAAGGATTCAGAACAAAGTTCTTAAAATTATTTTGAAGTTGCCTCCCTGGTACAGTACTACCGAAGTACATAGAATTTCGAATGTTGAGACTTTAGCACAAATGTCCAACAAAATAATTAATAATTTCAGGCAAAAATCGTTGCAATCCTCAATTGCAACGATTAATTCCCTTTATACTTAGATAAGATTTAGTTTTAGTTTTTAGTTTTAAGATATCAATTGTTATACTGACATGCAGGTTAAAAAACCTGTTTAAAATACTGAATTGCCAAGACATGAACAATGTAAAAACACTTAGATATATATCATAACAATTAAGGCTGGTACGTTACTGCAGTAACTGGAGCACCTAGGTTAAAATGAAATGTAATTTATTTTGAATTTGGAACAAATAAAGAGTTAAAAAAAAAAAAAAAAAATCCCAACCAGGGCTCGCACGATTATAGTCGCTATATTCATAGTCTGGCGGATAGAATCTCGGGAACCAATTGAGCTGTCAAATAGCGGAACCCATCGAGCAAATCACGACCAACAACAGAAAAGAGCATCTCAGCTATTGCCAACAAAACTTCGGAACCCTTTTTCTCGTGACTCAAGACTCACCTACGCAAATTAATACCATCTTTGGATTGGGGAAAGTATCCCCTATCCGATGATGCTGGTAATTTGCGTTCGATTAACGAGGAAAGAATAATCAACGTTTTGTTTATAAAATTTGATAGTACCTCTTCAATTGTTGGTCTACAATATATTTAATTGGTTCCGCTTTTTGGTAAATCGAAATTCTATCCGCCAGACTATGAATATAGCGACTATACGCACGATGTCCTCAACAATGGAACGTATCCAAGCTCCGTTGCTGAGGTTATTTTGCAAATACCGGTTGATTTAGTACATCACTTCATTTGAACTTTTGAACGATTTAGACTATTTAATGTTCATGAGGATGGATCTTGAATGATAATTCTACCTTTTATGAATTCGACTAGTCGAGTATTAGTACAAGACACTGAAGAATTCTACACATTTAAGGTAGTATCTCTTTCTTAATTCAACTGTTAATGCAACCATGATTAGAAAGTCATAAACAGACTATAATATTTTCTGAATAAGACAGACTGGCCTCAAATGAATTCACCACAACACCATTCAGGAGCACGAACACAAATGTATGAGACTGACATAGAACCAACATAAATTAATGCTAATCCCTAAACGTCCCAACTGATAAAATGCAAATCCAACCGCAAATACCTTTTCCCATACAAGAGTGTGAGAAAGCGCCAGATATGTTCCTATGATATTACAAACCTAGATCCCACAATCATAAAGATAGCGTACAAATCAAGAATCAAGAATATTACTTACAAAGCAATGCCGACAGTGCAACGACCACGATCTTGAATGAACCTTTATTATACATTTTTAACACAAGCCTGCTTGGCTCTTTGCTCCCAGTCTGCTCGTTTCAACTTCCACCAGCACCGCCTCCTCCGACCAAGGACCAGGCCCAGGCAAGACGATTTAAAATAAAAAAAAACGTATTTAATATCTTGCAATCGCGCGCGCCTACTTGCTATATTTTGCTGCTTTCTTTATCTTCTCCTCTCACTTCACCTTTTATCACTCAATTTTTTTTTTTATTCACGGCTTCACTGGCGTTTTCCTACTTCCTTCTTCTTGTTACCACAGTGTGCCCTTTTCTTGTGCACCGCGCGGCAGCGCACTGTTCTTCGATTTCGATTTTATCTCTTTCTGTCGGGTGTTCTTCTTCGTCCACTGCTTCGTCTTCTTTTAGGCTTCCAAAGGCATTCTTGCGATTCTCCACCAACTCAATATCTATATGCTATACACAGCCCACAAAATGATGTTTTTTGTTGTTGTTGTTGTTATTCTACCCCGCTACTCAGTGGCTCATCTTGGTTTCCATTTCACGTTTATTTACACGCTGCCTCCGTTTCTGTACATTGAAATTTTAATTAAAATTGACACAAAACACCACCGGCAGCGACCTGCGCTGGAAAAAAATTGCACCCCGTTTCTAGTCGCGATTTTATCTCATACTTTTTTCCCCTTCCGACACACGGACAGTCTATCGATGCATCACCTTGGTTTGTTGCCGCTGCTTCGACCGGCGAAAATTTACGAGACAAGTTTCTCCGGATTTTCAATCAAGCGAATTGAAGTTTAATCCGAGCGAAAATTGTCCTTACCGAATTGCATCAAAGCAACTCCCTCCACACAGAAATATTCCGACTAGACTTGCTTTGCCCTTCTTTTGTCTACGATGCGAGATCCTAGCAGGCACCCACAATTCACCACACCACCCACTTTCCGCACGCGGCGCAGCAGTCCTTTCCCAATTCTCCCTGCCGTGGCTTGCTGCTTTTTATTTCGGCTTTTAGCTAGCCTTCCGCCCGTCAAGGGTAGGGTGATGATAGGGTAGAGAGAAAAGATCACAATAATCTATCCCGACCTAATAAAAATCAAACCCCTGAACTGACACTCTTGCTATCGAACTCCTCCGGCGAGATGTTGAGCCAATAAACACGACCGAACGCCACGACCGGCAAGCAGAAACTGGTTTCTGGTTGGATTATTGAACTGACTGGAGTTGCGGCGACGGCTGACGGGGACGACGACCGAGACGGCTAATACATAGGTGTAACAGTCGGAAGAAGTGTTAGTTTGTTTACTTAAATGAACCATGCCCATTTTGTTATGGCATGTTTGCTATAAGAAATGCGCCTCGTGTTTATTAGCGAATTTCACATCAAAGATTGATTAATTGAGTAGGAAATCAGTTTGGCACGGCATTTGTGACCAGCATACACCTTCCGGTAGTATGAAACAGGTCAAAAACTGTTCAAATCCACAGATAAAATTTTTGTTTTGAATTTCTGTATAGCAAAATAGTGAACTTTTCGTGAACATTAACGGCAAAGAACTCACCAACACTGGGAGACTGTGAGTTCCTGCCCACCTGTCATTTTCCATCGTGGACGACGACGACCCGAGACGGCTAATACATAGGTGTAACAGTCGGAAGAAGTGTTAGTTTGTTTACTTAAATGAACCATGCCCATTTTGTTATGGCATGTTTGCTATAAGAAATGCGCCTCGTGTTTATTAGCGAATTTCACATCAAAGATTGATTAATTGAGTAGGAAATCAGTTTGGCACGGCATTTGTGACCAGCATACACCTTCCGGTAGTATGAAACAGGTCAAAAACTGTTCAAATCCACAGATAAAATTTTTGTTTTGAATTTCTGTATAGCAAAATAGTGAACTTTTCGTGAACATTAACGGCAAAGAACTCACCAACACTGGGAGACTGTGAGTTCCTGCCCACCTGTCATTTTCCATCGTGCAGCCGGCCAGCAACATAAAACATACACCAACATTGGCAATGCATACATGCGCAGCAGCAGCAGCAACAGTCGTTCGCTGAGTGTTGAGTAAGCCGAATATGGACCCCGGTTCGTTCGGAGGATAGGGAGCGAAGCACGGCAACCCGAAAGAAGGTGGAAAATAAAAACAAAACCAAAGCAGGCGAAAGGGGGTGGTGGTTTTTGCTTGCTGCCAGAAGCGGTTGGTGGTGGGTGGGTGGCAGGCGAGGATGACGCATGGTTGATTGAAGGCAGCGGAGAGCAACTTTCAGAAGGGATACCATGAGCCGTTGCAGTCGGTAAAGAAGAGACTATCACGGGTAATGGCATATAGGGCAGAGCGGGGCTAGTTGGTTAATTTGGAGAACAAAGCTCTGATTTTGTTATTGTTTTGTTCTTATCTTGAAAATCATTGACGTCAAAATACAGAATAGTACAGTCAGGAATCCTTATTTCCAAGGTAACGGGGGCGTGAATAAGGAACCGCGAATAAGGATACCCACAGCTTATGGGATTTTCACCAATAGGGGCTGTGGTGGATTATCTAATTTGTTTCAATATATAGAGCTACAGGTGAACTTCGATATAACATACCATCGATATAACGTACCCTCGATATAGCGTCACTCGATATAAAATACATTTTACCTCGATATAAGAATTATTTTTTTATGTCTCATCATCAGAATAAGTGTTTCAAGATTCAAGAACAATATATTATAAGTCCAAATTGACCGTCCAGAGACCTCGCATTGGAGGGGGGCAGCATCCCAGGTGCAGGTATTGAAAGTCTGCAGGGGCTGTGCACTAATTACGTAAGACATTTTAGTGATTTTCCAGCTCCAACTAATTTAAAATTAATGCACACCCATAACCAAAACTATGAGAGTTTATAGAATGGAACACTGTCAAATGTCTATTGACTGAATGTGTATTTCATCGAAGTAGCGACAAATTAAAGCAACTTAGAGATATTAGCGACCAAGCAGAGAATATCAGCAGAGCCGCTGTGATATTCATATCAGTGATATGAATGAGGTACACTGGAGTCGCTTTTTACGCGGTTTTTTTTACACGGATTTTGGTTTTTTTTTACGCGGATTCCGGAATTTACGCGGATTTTGGTTTTTTTTTTGCGCGGATTACAGAATTTACGCGGTATATCGCTTTTTACGCGGTTTTTTCTTACACGGTCTTTTTTTACGCGGTTTTTTTTACGCGGATTTCGGAATTTACGCGTTTTTTTTACGCGGATTCCGGAATTTACGCGGTTTTTTTTTACGCGGGACGTATCACCCGCGTAAAAAGCGACTCCAGTGTATTTAGCTTTCCACACTCGGTAATGGCAGCCTTCGTGTGCATGAAAAGGGTCCTTCATTATTGGTTTTTGACAGCTGCTGGATGTAATACGCTCAGAGATGCCAGATTTTGTTTTCAGAAGTCTGTGAAAAATGTCTGTGAATTTCAGAAATGTTAGCAGCAGTTTTGTGTGTGACGGGGGTGGTGGTAGTCATGAAAAAAATGCGAAATTTTAAATATCAGTAATAGTCATGTTCGAGCAAAAACGACCTGCTTTTAACGAATTGAACCTAATTGGAGTTAGGAATGCATCCATTTACGCTGTATACGTTAAAAGTTATTAATAAAAAGATAACAAAATTTTCCCTTGATTACAAAAGTCTGTAAATATCTGTTAAAAAAACTAAAAAGCCTGTAAATATCTGTGAAAAAACTAAAAAGTCTGTAAATGTCTGTAACAAAAATCAAGTCTGCGAAAAAAATAAAAGTCTGTGAATTCACAGACATGTCTGTAATTCTGGCATCTCTGAATACGCTCCATCTGTTCCACTGAGAGGCGAAGAGGGGAGAAAAGCTTTTTAACCAGCAGCTGTCAATTACCGAGCATACGGTACATCCATCCTATTAGGTTTTGCACCGTCGGGGTTAACCTCAATCTGATGACAGTTCAGTGGTACTGTTTACGTGGACTTAGTCGATTTTTTCTTGGGTGGATTTTCTCGATAATTTTTCAGACTGCAGTGAGATGTAAACAGCATTTCTGCTATGTTTGCGAGCAACATCCTTGCAACGCGCTGTTCCTCGACAATTTTCAAGTTAAAATTCAGAAACTTTAGATTTTTTTTTCGAAAAAACGACTAAGTGCTTGTAAACAGTACCACTGAACTGTCAAAAAGGTTCAGCCGATTAACACTGAGTTCATTTGTGACGTCACGCTGCAGAACCTAATTGACCAGTGCACGGAATGAACTCACGATAAAATTTGACTTTTGAGCGGTGCCGTGTTTACTAAAAATGAACACATGATGTAATGCTCGCGTAACTTTAGAAAAGGTCCTATCAACTTTTGTAAACACCTTTTTAGGCCCTTTTCTCACGAGCCGAAGAACACCCACGCAAACCAAACCACTATCGGAAAGGGGAGAATTCACCCTACCCAATGGTGTTGTTGGTTTGCACGGGCGTACTTCCGTTCGCGCGAAAAAATGTCTAACAAGTTTTGTGTACATAAATTGATAGGCCATTTTTAAATGTTACGCGAGTATTATTCATGTGTTCACTTTTAGTAAACACAGCACCGCTCAAAAGTCAAATTTGTTCAGGCAGTTCATTCCGTGCATTGGTCAATGAAGTAATGTCATTCTCATGTTGACTATATTTCTCATGGTGACATAGGAAAGGTGGGAGTATATAAGAAAGCAAGAGTTTTCGTGTTTTGATGTCCCTTAATTTTTTTTTAAATCGAACACATTATCTGTTCATTTAAATAAAACTGTGCATGAGTTTTTACTCACGAGAAATTAGCAGTTGAAGTTGACACTGATTTTAAAACATAGTCAGATCAGCGTACAATATTCCCACCTCTACTAAGTTTTATATACACCTTGTATGAAAGCTTCTGTCAAACACTGTTATACATCTACACTAAACGAAAACATCCGCAATACTTCGAATGATTATTGCATTGGTCGAGCCCTTTAGCAATATGCTTTCGAATTTTGGATGATTGCCTTATGGTTGAATTCGTCATCAGCTGACGAGCATCCATATGACTGTCCTCTAAATAAAGGATGATAATTATTTGAAAATTGGCTGTACAACATACAGTGCTTAGAGGATATCAGTTTAATAATAGCATGTCTTGCAAATGTTTAAAATTGGGTTGATAGTTCGCTTGTTTATATTTCCATATTTAATAGCCAGGAACAGCCATTCCATCATGGATTCAAAAATCTTTTGTTGGTAGAGGAAACTTCCTCCACCACGAAATAGACAATCTTCGGTTCCTACGCTTTACATCATCGTTTTTGAGGATTTGCGTTATGGGGCTGAATCAATACAATATGCATTTCAATTTGGGATGACAATCATTCTACAGAGAGCATTACGTATTTCAACTGAGGTCCATTCGCTTCTCGTATCAATGTTTATCCTGTATTCGAGAGGAGCATCATCTGATTGCAAAACAATCGTCGTCCGGTTGCAGCTATCATTCGAAAAAGCAATTTCGATGTTTTGATTCGAATGGTCTGAGGTTTCATTCGAACAGAGCAGGATGTTTTGGTACAGTGTAAGGGAAGAGGAGACAATACGGAGGCGAAAACGAACCACTTTTCTGTCAAACGCAAATCAGCTCATGATTGGTTGATTTGAAGTGCGTAAGATAGAGATAGAGATGGAGATAGATATAGATAGAGATAGAGATAGAAATAAAAGAGTAAGAAGGCAATTGTCTCCTCTTCCTCTTAGTTATTGATATAGGACCAGTGGCTTAGACACATTCCACAGTGGTACAGAATGCAGATTTAGCTGGAATGATATGTTTTGAGCCTGAAATTGAAACTTTAGACTAAAAGTCTCTTCTACAAAGTTGTTCCTTATAGTTAGGCCCTCATTTTTATGACAATGAATTCTAGGGTGGTTCCTATTATCAATAAAATCAAAAATCTAACTTTTTTGTTTGAATAAATTAAGGTATACATTCTTCGGCAAAGTTATAGCTGAGCTAATTTCAAGCAACGAATGTTTCATAGCTGAATTTGTTGCCTGTATCTCTTCTAATAAAAAAGATATACTCAAATATAATAAAAAATATGAATAAATTCAAATTGATTTTTTACGAGTTTAAAAAATAACATACCTC